CGTCCTATGTGGAAGGGGTTAGCAGATCGTGACCTTCAAACACTTTATTCGGGATTTACCCCACCAGCTACTGACAGACCAGCTGTCTCCACAGGCGTGTGTGACATGCCCCTGGTGTAATCAAAGGGTGAAACAGGCTGAGATACCTTCTCCTGTGTTGCTATATGGGACCAGTGTTCTGTGCATCTAAATGAACACATACTGACCACCATGGGTTTAGCCTAAACCTTGAGGTCATGTGATTTGCCCTCAGCCAATTGTTGCATATGGGGGTTAGATTATACATCAGTCAGGTGTTTTACCATGCTTATACGCATGCATCACCCGCTACTTTCAAACCTCAGAAACAAAGCTCTCGGGTCTGTTGGGACTGTAGGCTATGGGGCAAGGTGGTTAATGTTGTGTGCAGACGGGCGCAATGGAAAAACATATGCCTGTGTTGGATCATTTTACCTTGGGATACATGGCGTCTGGGGTCCCAGTGTTTTACCAGAACAGGAGTAATGCAGAGTGAAGGAGACAGGCACCAGGGGGCTGGGGAGAAGATCAGCTGTTTTGTTGGATCAAGCCCACGACCACCATTGTGTTGCTGGCTACACAACACCTAAAGGAAATAATCTCACTGTTTGTGAATGTCTGTCACCATGCTACATGTGAGATGTGAGGGATGCAGGGAAGAGATGCCAATGACTGGATTTGTTTTATATACAGTATGTTCCAGAGGGGATGGATGTTTGTAACCTGCCCGTTTGCAATGCATTTTATTCATGGGATTGAGACGGTAAGTCTTCGGTTAAAAACTGCATTGTTTCTGAAGAGAAACGAAGCGGTCGGATTTAAAAGTATGTCTGATGTGTGTGTTTTAAATTAGAATGTGACATTTATCTTACTGAAATTTATTTGGTTTTAATTCTTACACCTAATAAAACTATACTGAGTTGGAACATCTGCATTTTGCATATTAAAAGGACTATCTGGTTTATTTTTATACTAAATTTAGTTCTATTTTGTATAGGCTTCGCCCTCTAAGAGCTGTCGCTATTGGGTTTATCCCTCGTGCATGCGCAGTCCTGAAGAGATTCTTTCACGCCCTGTGCCTTGCACTGGGCTGTCCTCAATTAGGTCCGCAGCAGCAGTATAACTGGCACTGTGACCTAAACTCGCCTTCCTCTTTTTCTTCAACAGTTCTAAAGAGCATTCTCATAAGAGAACAACTATGGCTAAAGAGCAACTCTCCTCCTCCAGTGGAACTCGGCGCTGCCCTACTGTCACTGTATGCCCCGGCTGTGACATGGGCTTCATTCTGCCCAGTGACCTGCACCCCCGCTGCGAAGCCTGTCTCGGCGCTGAGCACGCCGAGCTAGTCCTCTCCCCCCAGGCTGCTTGCCCCTTCTGCGCTTGCCTGCCAATAGTGGAGAAGCAGCGGAGAGTGGATGCTTTCGCTGTGATGAAGGAGAAAGGCCCAGACAACAGCATCTCCTGGGCCTCTCACGGTGACAGCCCCGTGGCGGACGCCCCACTGGAGTTCTGGGGGCCCGGATCCAATGACCCATTTCCCCCCATATCCGGCTCCCCCGGTTCTCTGATCGACCCAATGGCCAATTTGGACACCGGCGGAGACGAGCTACCCCCGGCTGAGCAGCTACTTGGTGCCCTGCTCCACGACTTATCACCAAGGCAGCAGGTGGTAAAGGCATCCCCAATCCTGCAGCTGGACCACCTCCCGCCCCCTCGGACATGGTGGGAGACTACTACAGAGCGGAGCAACTGAGTAACCGGCCCCCAGTCTAGCCCAGCTTCCCTGCTATCCAGCCCTTCTTCTCCGAGGCAGGAGAATGGCCAGTGGGCCTGCGGGCTCCAGTCCCCCGCTATGAGGCTCTCACCAGAGTCAAGGGGATGACCAACCTGGGGATGACCAACCTGGGTTTTCCCGCCATACTGCCGCTGGAGACCAGCATCTCCTCCATCTTGCTCCCTAAGACAGCATTCTTCGGCAAACAGCGCCCCACTCCTCGACTGCCCCGAGACCAGGTCACTGCTCTGCTCACGGGCCGCATCCACCAATGAGCCTCCCAGGCTGGAGCCGTGATCAACAACATCGCCTCTCCCTCGCCGCTCAGCCCTCCAGAGGCAGCAGAGAAGATCGGCAAAGCAATTGCTGCAGTACTTGCACTGTCATCCGCTGCAGCCGTAGCGATGACACGCATCAGGGCATGGGCTACTATGGTGCAACGTAATATGTGGCTGCATATGTAAAAAATGCCAGAGCAGATTAAAAAGAGTCAGCTCAGACGGCCTTTTTGGGCCACACTTCCAAGAGGCTCTCTCCCAGCTGTGGCTAGCAGCCGATCAGGCGGGGCAGCAGGTTTGTCAGCTAGCATCATGGGGACGACAGCAACCTCGCTTTTCCCGACCAGATTGGCATAACCAGGGCAGACATCAAAGCTACAGAGCCAGGCACCCAGCAGTCTCCGCTGCCACTGCACCACGGCATCCCGCTCTGCCTGACCCTGCTCTGCCTGACTCCGCTCCTCCTCCTCTCGCCTCTTCCCCCGGACCAGACGCCTCCAGGTGGGCCCGCACGGGGCGACAAGCGGCCGGCACTTGGCCAACCCCTCAACCAGGCCCCCGTAAACAGACGGGGCACGGGGAACGTGTGTGGTTCAGCTGTTGGAAACAACGGCCCTTGTCAAGGCCACCACCTGCTGAATAAAGAGCAGTTTCCTGACAGCTGTTTTTTCTCTGGGTTTTTACGATCCACATGCACATATGTCTCCCCACACACTCTCCTCATTCTCACAGCAAAGAGATAGCGGCACCACTGCTTTATCTGACACAGAGCTACCTGTGAGTTTATGTGGCCTCCCCACCCCTCACCCGCTTGTGCCTATGAGCGGCGGTTTCTCTCCCACACAGGAGGCGAACGATGAAGCTGAACACAGGGTGCCTTTTCCCCCTCAGCCCTTTCCTCAGCACCCTCCCATGGGTTGCGCAGAACAAACACTCGTTTCTGGCAACGGCAGAGAGGGCACACCATTGGTTAGCGACCGTACATGTGAGCGCGCCACGCACGAACGCGCGTCCCCTGACGGAGCATTACGCGGTGTGGCGAGACCGGCTGTCCATGAACGATCGGATGGACAAGCTGATTCGCACCAGCTACACTCTGCAATTCTCCAGGCACCCCCCTGCTTTCAGCGGCATGCTGGAGACTGTCATAACATCACCTGCGAGCTCCGCCGCACTGGCGACAGAGCTGCAGGTGCCGTCACAAAACAGTGATCTTTGTGGTCCCGCCAGGACGGGAGCGTGAAGGTTTTTACTTGCGCTACTTTCTGGTTCCCAAGAGATCGGGCGAGATGAGACCCATCCTCAATCTGTCTCTCTTCAACAAATACATAATGGAGAGACCGTTTCATATGCTCACCACAAAACATCTGTTGGAGTGTGTGCGTCCCGGCGATTGGTTCACTTCCATCGAACTGAGAGACGCGTATTTTTCACGTGCCTATTATTCCCAAAGATACAGGAAAGTCCTTTATTATTTAGACAATTTGATTCTGATGGCGCGCTCCAGACATTAAGCGGCTTATCACACAGTGATGCTGGTGCAGCACCTTGCACAACTGGGTTTTGCAATAAATTGGGAGAAGAGTTCACCGGTGCCCTCCCAGATGCTTACTTACCTGGGAGTGCACTTAGACTCTCTCAACATGAAGGCGAGGCTGACATCCTCCAGGTGAGAAATGCTTTCATCTCTCCTGCACAGTGTTGTTCCCCACGCGAGAGTAACAGCTCTATCTGTCATGCGTTTACTGGGAACAATGTCAGCCAGCCATGTCATAGTCCCCCTCGGTCTCCTCCATATGAGGAAGCTCCAGAGGTGGTTCGGCCGTCTGCATCTCAACCGTACCGGTACTTAGCGAGCTGTGGTGTATGTTTTTCTGCTCTTGGGCGGTGTGCCAACAGGGCAATGACTACTGGGATAGAGCGCAGCTTTATCCCAATAGCGAATAGAGGGACGGAGCCTATACGAAATAGAAAGATGGTTACATACAGTAACCCAAGCTTCTATGAGTATAGGCGTAGCCCTGCTGTCCCTACCCCCGCCAGCTGAAGAAAAAGTGCTGTTTTTTTAGGGAGGCGAGCTTAGGTCACAGTGGCAGTTATACTGCTGCTGCGGACCTAATTGAGGACAAACCACTGGCAGGGCCCGGGGGGGATCTCTTCAGGATTGCGCATGCGCGAGGGATAAACACAATAGCGATAGCTCTTAGAGGGCGAAGCCTATACTCATAGAAGCTTGGATTACTGTACGTAACCATCGTTTTTTTTTTAAATAAATTTAAAATAAGCACTTTTTTGTCTAAAAACCCTTCCATTCTGTTTTCACATATTAAAATGCACAAGCACAACCATATCATTCATTTTATAGTCAAACTACTTAATGCTAGAATGCTAGTGCTGGAGGTGTGGTTGACCTTTGACCTAAAACTCAGTGGGAAGAAAACGCATACTCTACTGTAGCTATGATTATTTTCAGGGAACATACATACAACAAATATGAAGTGTAGTTTAAATTTTATAACTCAAAGTTATGGGCAGTGGGTTTTTCAACTTCTGACATAGTTTAGAGAAGAATGACAGAACCTGGATGAGTGTTTGCATAAAAATAAAGTGAATTTTCTTAAGGACCCCCTTAATCCCTCCTGTAATAAACCCTTAAAAATCTTAGCTTTCCCTGCTCGTGCATGCCTCAGTCATTGCAGTCCTTATGTTCTGGGGTTTTAGTTTGAAAAGGCAAGATCATAGATAAAAGTCAGTAAGTGACAAAGCCAGTTTTGTCTTTCTCAAGTGACGTGGCTATTTTCACTGTTACTACTGTTAATGTATCACCTGATATGATGAAGGGGAGGGGAGGTACTACCCATGACTACATATAGAGATTCACCTTCCACTGTTGAATGTCTCAGTGAGGGGCTTCAGTACAGACAGACAATATGGGCACTGGTTACTACATCCGTAAGCCTGTTGGGATAGTGGGAATCATCCTGGGTGCTGGGGCCCTGGCTACCATCATAGCTCTGTCTGTTGTTTATTCACAGGAAAAGGCTAAAAATATTGTCCCACCAACAGATGCAGGAACAACAACATCCAACCCCCATGTTACAACCACAACACCTGCCCCATCCAACAAGCCTTGGACAACACCTGCCCCATCCAACAAGCCTTGGACAACACCTGCCCCATCCAACAAGCCTTGGGACAAATACCGGCTGCCCAACAGCCTGGTTCCGGACAACTATAATGTGACCCTGTGGCCACGACTGACTGCAGATCTAACAACCGGACTCTACATCTTTACAGGTAAGGCTTGAGTGTAATACTCATTTTTGATCCTCTAGAGCCTGATGAATTATGTTCATGGAAAGCAGTTGCATTCACCTCCTTGATCAGCAAGAAGCAAAACCAGCAGATGTTTGGCAGCATTAGTCTGAGACAAAAAGGGATGGAGAGAAAAAACAGTTAGGGTTACAGCCTTAACAGGGTAAAGAACATGACATGAAGAAGAAGCACCCACCACCAGCTTTGACTCAGAGGGTGTCCTGAGTCCTGACTCACTCATCAGTTTTGTGGCCTGGTAAATAGCTTCTCAGTTTCTTTGCAAATACATTTTATTGTCCACACCTGATCCATCTCTACGGGGTTGTGAATGTCATTTTCTCAGCTGAAACTGAGATTGATCCTACAATTTTTGTAACTGACTAGGGAGAGAATTAACCATTGTTTATTCACCAGTGAAAAAAACTGCTTCTCTCAGTGTCTATTTTAAAGGGACAGGACAACACACAGGAATTCATCTAAGGTTCTTAACTCAGTTGTTCTTGTGCTTTGTGATAACTGGAGAAAAACTTACTGGAAGTTTAGAGTGACGTATTAAGTGATGAACCTCATACACATACGTTGTATGGTGCTGATATCATATGACAAATGTATTTCCAAAACATCAACTTGTCATAACATAAGAAAAAACTGTTTTAGTTTTGTGATCTGTGTGTTTTTCAGATAATATTAAGGCTTTTAAAATGTTTTTTAGCTTAAAAGCTAGAATTTTCTCGACCCGTAAAGGAAACCTTCATAGTACAGAGATACGTATGTGATTTTCATTGGAATGCAATAAGTCGCTTTATTCTGATTTGATACATAAAGTACGTTATATATTGGATGTCACTAGTTCCCAGCCTAGAGGATGCTACATTTGAGGGACAGTAGGACTGGCATAATAGGAAAGCAGGAATCTTTGGTTTCTTCCTTGTGAATTACTACTTACGATCAACATTTAAGCTAATTCATGCTGTTTCAGGTCATTCCAGTGTGGAGTTTGAGTGTGCCGAGGAGACTGACCTGATTCTTATCCACTCCAATAAGCTGAACTACACCAAACTTGACAATGGCAAGTTTGCGAGGCTTGTTTCAGTCAATAGTGCGGTCAAAGCCCCTTCAATCAAGGATTCGTGGCTCCAGAATGTGACTCAGTACCTGGTCCTTCAGTTGGATGGTAAACTGGTTAAAGGTCACAGGTACCACCTCTACGCTGAATTTACTGGAGAGTTGGCTGATGACCTGGGAGGCTTCTATAGGAGCGAGTATATAGAGGATGGAGTGAGAAAGTATGTACACTGAGGTCAAATAATATGCCTTGCAATATAACTGGAACAAAAGTACACACAGTATTTAGTAGTTCATGTGGCACAAGCTCTCTTTAGCAGTTTTCAATATAATTACAGCTTAAGTTAGATAATTTGGACTAAACTGAAGTGCCAGTGATGGAATCCTTCAGTGTATAAAAAAGGCAAGGATATCTCCAACATATTCACTTAATATGCCAAAAAAAAGCACATTGTGGTGGTGTGGGGGGAAAGTACACAGCAAGATACTCAGAATAACACTTTCAGAGTTCATGTCAACACTTTGAAAGGGGCTATATGGGTCCACTGCACAAAGTGCTGAAGTGCCACTTTTTGGAATGTTTGGTATCTTAACACAGGGTAATCATTGACTCCTTTTGTAGTTAAAATTCACCTCTAATCACTAACTGGTGCTAGTTTTTCTCAAGACTAGTGTACAGTGTTGAACATCTGCTCTTGTAGCACCTATGGTCTGATGTGAACTAAATTAATTCAGGCAAATCATTCCAATTCAAATAATTATTTAATATTACAATAATTCTGAGCAATTCAATAGGTTTATGAGACACTCCAACAATCTGGTAGATAGGGAACAGAAAACAGAATCACTCCTCCTACAATGGAATAGATACAGTATTAAATGAGAAGATTGTCACAGAGTTGCTACTCAGTGCCTTCATTTCTCTCTCTCTTTTTAAATACCAATAAGTAAAATAGTGTTTCAGCTGCTATTAATGTTAACATTACACGAGTGGGGTGAGAAAAGTTCACCTTTAAAAAAAATCCAGGTGCCAGATGAAGAGAAAAGATCAGTATATCAATATACAGTACACATCAATATACACACACACACACACACACACACACATATACATACATACATACATATATATATAGTAGCGACCTCCGGCGCGGGGGAGAGGAGCGAATGCTAACGGGGCGGCTGCTAGCTGGCGGGGTGCT